TGGGGGGGGGTGGAAATCAACCACAACACACTGAGATGCACAAAGCTTTAAACAGCATTTAAACATTATACCATTTCTTCTCACCAGAAGACTCTAAATCATCAATAATACTTAAATGTACACTATGTCACTATATTTTAAGAAAAGATGTAACTATGGATATTGAAGACCTTCACCCCGAGTCTATGAAAGGTTCTCTTAACCTATTACTAATTTTAAAATAGATATAGGAGGACTATCCACACCTTCCCATCTCTCTTCTACCCAAAGAAAACCTGCTTAACTTGCCAGAAGTTCCCTTACAAGTAGTTCACAATCAGAGAAATCTGTATTTGTATCCAGGATGTGGTCACTTCAGCTCCTAGAAAACTGTATTTATGCCAATAACAAATGTGACACCATAGAATAGATCTTGGTGTAGCCCAGCATCTTCATCGCTTCTCAAGGGAGGAGTACAAACAGCTCAGAGCAGGCGAGTGAAAGTGATCAAAGGTAGCGATTTGAGGTTGGCCAATGTTAAGGAGAGACTCAAGAGGCTAGGACTATTTAATTTAAAAGCAAAAGCACATGGAGATTAGGGATTGGGATTTCCATCCTGCACAGGGGAAAGGTCACACCAGGATGTGCAGGTTTATCTTCATTCTCCTGCAAAGCCAACATGCAGCCACCAGATGACCTGGTCTCTCCCCCTCACGGACTGCCTGTCCTTTTTTTCTTTCCCAAACCTTTCCACCACACAGCACCACTTCCCACAGTACACTCAGCAGCAAACAGACAGCACTGCTCTGTAACACCAGCAAATGCAGACAGCAGGTGAAATGTAGCAGCGATAGGTTGAAGAAAGCAGAACAGAAGAAAAAGCAGAATGAATGAAGGGAAAATAAACAAAGCATAGAAAATCAGCTTGGAATTCAAGTGAAAATAGCAATAGACTGGCTGAAGCAACAGGGTCACCACAGAGAATAAGCCATGGCATAGGAGCAATCAGAAACTACATCTGCACTGGGAGACCTTACAGAATAATTCCCACAGTTGCTGCTGCACCAGAATACATGAACTGTTTTTAATACTAACATCAGCCTCTATTTTTACTAAGCCTAGTAACAGTAAAAAATTATCTGAGTCACCAGAACTATGACAGCTGAAGTAAGCATTGTTTTAGTCAAGCTAGCATTAGAAAAAGAATGAGAATGCCTGGCACATTTCTGCTCTGTTGGCAGGGCAAAACATAATTCAGTAAGTGTCAATTTCTTCTTCATTAAAAATGCCCCTAAAAGTCTTGGTTTCTGAATGGCTTACTAAACTCTCACCATTACACCCAACACTCATGCAGGAATATATTGGCTCTGACATTGAACTCCATGCTCCTGGGCTCCTATTCCTATTCTCTGGTTGTTCCTTGCCTTTTACTAAAGCAACAAATGTTCCTACCCATCCTTCTCCTTCTTCTGAGGTACCACCGCCATTTAAACAATTATTATAAAATAAAACTTTGCCCAGTTAACAACTTTATCTCAAATAATGTTGTTGGGTTTGCTGTCTTGTTATCCCCATAATCTGGGGTATAACTCCGCAAACATTTACAAGGGCATGCTTGTAACACAAAGTCTGCCTTTTCTTATACGCAACTTCCGTGCAGGGAACTGAAAGAAAAGCCATCAAAAAGAGCTCTCTATACAGTGCAGTTCTAGCTACACTTACCAAATTATGCCTTCTGCACCACCATCTGAGACTATGTTCATTCTGTTCGGTACATGAAAGTGAACAACCTCCATCTTGCATTTGAAATAGCTCGCAGATACTTCTGCACCTTTGAGGAAACAGTAACTGAAGGACGGAACTTGCTCAAAGCTATACAGATAGCAACAGAATTCTGGCATGTCTTCCTTACTGATGAGCTACAGAAATCATCAACTGTGATGCTTTCCGTGGGAGTTACTGCCTGAAATCAGGCCTTTTCTACAGGTGAGAGATGGTTCTCATTATTGACGTGACCAGAATTCCAGCTTTAGAGTGCTAGATCCCTCTGCTTCAAACCCTAGATGATGTTCTTCTTTCAACGCTAGTTTGCAATGCACTGGCCCACAAATATGAGTGAAGTTACAACTGCAAAAGAAGAAAACACTTTTTCCTTCCCAGCCCCACTGCCACCCAGGCTGTGTGGGCAAACAGCACTATCCCCTGTGCAAAGAAGCCTGTGCATAGCTTGGACTTCACCACCAGCCCTGACTTTCAGAAAGAGTTAGTGGAGGTTATGGACCAGGACAAGCTCAGCAGTTAATGTAGGTTGCCAGTTATCAGAACTCATCTAAATGATGTTAACACAGATGCCTGGCTCATTTTCTTCACGCAATGTATGCCTTCCGCTGTGCAGCTGGGCCCTCCTAACACCACGTACAGGTTCAGACACCGTAAGTTTTACCTCATGAGTAATACATTGCCAAGTATCTCCTTAAGTAACTTATTAAGTCCTGAACTGTTTGTTCATGAGTTCAAGGCCATAACATACACTCTCCACCAGTGAAGCATTACCCTGTAGAAACCCGCTGCTTTCCTTCTCCACTTTGTATCTACCCGGGACATAAAAAACGCCCACATGGTGCAGGCCCAGAAAAGGTTGCTCAGAAGCAGCCTGGAGGTTCCTCTCTTGAGGAACCGGTGCAGCATCAGAGCAACAGCACCTGCCACCCTCGGCCCCGGGGTGCCCCCCCTGCGCTCGTGCCAAGAGCAAGGCCGATAGCTTCCGCCAGGGCTGCAGCCGCAAGTCATGGAATCATAGAATGTTTTGGGTTGGAAGGGACCCCTAGAGGTCATCTAGTCCAACCCCCCTGCAGGGAGCAAGGTCACTGCTAACTAGATCAGGTTGCTCAGAGCCCCGTCCAACCTGGCCTTGAATGTTTCCAGGGATGGGGCCTCCACTACCTCTCTGGGCAACCTGTTCCAGTGTTTCACCACCCTCATTGTAAAGAATTTCTTCCTTATATCTAGTCTAAACCTACCCTGGTTTAGTTTAAAACCATTACCCCTTGTCTTGTCACTGCTGGCCCTACTAAAAAGATTTTCCCCATCTTTCCTATAGGCCCCCTTTAGGTACTG